TATCCATGTAGATTTTAATAATTTTAATAATTTTTTTCTTACCTCAAGAAGTTAAGCCGCATCATTTTTGCAAGTAACGATAGTTACTGATTCCATGCTACTCAACAGAAATAGTACTAGTGTTTTTTGTTGATTCCTGGGCAGTTCGAATATCGACGATATTATCGATCCACTGCATGGTGTCCAGAATCACTTCTGATTTTCACTCTTTTTAAAGAATGAGAGGACGCAAAGTGTAAACTAGTTTCGAAAGCATTATTTGACCTTAACTAGTTTTGCAGTTTGGTTGTGCATTGCTTCATTTTCATTCTATTAAATGGTGTTTTACCTATACTAGAAAAATTCTCCCTTCAGATATGTTTTTCCACGCAAATTCAATTTTTTTGCGTTCATCGGACTCAGATTTAGCTTGCTGTTATAATGCTAATAGCTGCATCTTTAATGCTTTCATTTAACTGTAGTTAGCAACACCAAAAACAGTAATGAACATTTTTATTTCTGTTTACTACTCCAAATTTAGTTTCGAAACTATTTGTTTGCTGATTTGATTTCAGGATGGTGTGTTTCCATTCGTTCGAGGACAGCAACTGCAGGTTGTTGCTGCCCTCCATCTGTCCACTGTTCTTGGTCACCTTGAGAATGCTTCAAATTCTTCAAAATTGAAATGCTTCAAATGCATCTTCAAACTACCTAAATCAAACAGTCTCGCCTCGTGCAATCTCATCTCTGGTAACCAAATTTCATGTTTTAACGACCATAAGTATTCTCTTTTGGGCTGGTCTCAAGTACTCTACGAAGGGAACACCTTGCATTGCAGAGTTCCAAAGTTTGTTGGTCTTCAGCACACTAACGGTTTCTGCACGGAGCTTCATTACGACAGCTTGGAATCCAACCTTTTGGCTGATGTCTAGTAATCACTAATTTATTCAAAGGTATGAGCCTATGCGTATGTGTGATCCATTACTTCGTGTGGTTCCAGTCAATAACGCAATTTGTTGGCCGGAAAATGATGAATGTCGAAATTGTTATCCCTGCTTTCCCTCTAATGATCCGGTCATTTGCAGATAAAGCATCCAACTACTTTAACGTAACAAAAATCTGGGATCGGATAATTAATTCCAACTATATTTTCGCATTCTGCTACTTTAACTACTTCGCGTTTCCTGTTCATTTCCGGCCAGAGAGCAGGCATTTCATTTTGAAAAAGTTACACCTCACTAATATATGCCGGTTATGTTTACGACATTCAGAGAGCCTGTTCGAGCTTA